GTTTTTCCCCACCTTTTCCCCCCTTTCGTTTCCTTCCCTCCTCTCCTTCCCGTGTTTCCCTTTTCTTTATTCCCCTTCTTCCTTATTTGACTTGTGGAGGGGCATCCTGCCCTACCACCTACGAAGATGGCAGTCTGCTGCTGCTGGTGGTCTCCCAAGAAGTGAGCACCTCGTTCCCGCTGCAGCTGTTTGGCAGTTAACTGCGTTGGTCACTACTGCTTGCTTCTGTATTAGTTATCTTTTGTCACACCCCATCCCCTCCCCTCCTTCCTTTCTTTCCTCCAGTTGGGTGTAACCACCACACCTGCCACCCCACTCATCAGGTGATTTCAGTCATCAGCTACAGCACCGCCAGAGAAAGAACAGATGGAAGGGAACACCTGCCCACAGCCTGCTTTCAGCTCTTCTCCATGACCAGCAGAGATTGATGCCCATGTTCCCAACCACTAACAGATTCACTTGAAGACAAGTAGTGCATACTCTGTGATGTCGAACTAGCAATCAGAATAACAGGCCGGCCTGTTACCTAGATATGTGAAAACAAAACGCAAAATCAGGGTAAAGCAAACCAACATACAAGGGGGTTTACAAAAACCACACAAAAAATCTCATGGAAAAATGTTATTAAAGATAATGGAAAATTTCCACAAGCTCTTTGCCACCACCTCATATAATCAACAAAGTAATTCAATAAGACCATAATGTCTAGGAGACAAAACCCAAAAAACCCAAAGTCAATGCCATTGAGTCAGGTCTGACTTTAACGACTCTCCATGGCAGGGTAGAACTGCCAGTGTGGGTTTCCTTCCAATATGGTAACTCTTTCTGGGGGTACAAAGCCTCATCTTTCTCCTGCAGAGAGGCTGATGGTTTTAAACTCCTGATCTAGTGGTTAGCAGCCCAATGTGCAACCACCACACCACCAGGGCTCCAACGTCAAATCATTTGGCAACAATAAGACATGTGAGTTAGTTAATTGTGCCAGCCTGGTCGATAATCACATGTGGTGCTGGTTGATAGGCGGAGGGATAAATGGGTGGTGAAGCCTCGCCTTTCTAGTTCTTGGGTCTCTTGTTTTGTGATGGTTGTATCGGGTGAAGCTGCCTTAGCAGTT